AAAATAATATGGTTTGTTATTATCCAGTTTCACAAAACCACGCGAAGTCTGGGAACGTATGCCCCACACATGTCGCTATCAAACTGTATTTCTGGGTTGTTGTAGGTTTTTCCGGGCTATATGGCCATGTTCTGGAGGCAATTTTCCTCCTGACGTTTCGCCTGCATCTATGGCAAGCATCCTCAGAGGTAGTGAGGTCTGTTGGAAGTAGGAAAAATGGGTTTATATATCTGTGGAATGACCAGGGTGAGACAAAGGACTTTTGTCTGCTGGGGCTAGCTGTGAATGTTTCACCTGATCACCTTGATTAGCATTCAATGGCTTGGAAGTGCCTGGGGGGAATCTTTTGTTGAGAGTGATTTTATGTGCCTGTTTGTTTCCCCTCTATTGTTTTGCTGTTGTAATTTTTGAGTTTTATAACATTCACAGCTAGCCCCAGCAGACAAAAGTCCTTTGTCTCACCCTGGTCATTCCACAGATATATAAACCCATTTTTCCTACTTCCAACAGACCTCACTACCTCTGAGGATGCTTGCCATAGATGCAGGCGAAACGTCAGGAAAAAAATTGCCTCCAGAACATGGCCATATAGCCCGGAAAAACCTACAACAACCCAGTGATTCCGGCCATGAAAGCCTTCGACAAAACTGTATTTCACTTTTAATTATAAAATAGATCTTTTCTGCAAGCAGATTAACACAACTACTACCTACAATTACTACATATAAAGACCAAGCTTCCTTGAGTTTGGGAGAATGGTTCCAGTCATTCACATACACAAAACATTTTATCCACTCATGTTTATCCACAGCTGGCCCCTGCAAATAATAAAGTAGGGACAAGGGGATCTAAGGAGGAGAGAAGCAATACAAACTAAGGAAAGTCCCCTCATAAGAACATGGGAGCCCTGAAGGCAGATCAAACCAAAGGCCTTTCAGAGTCCAGCGCTCTGCCCACAAAACAGCCATCCGTCTCCTTCTGGGAAACCAGCCAGCAGGACATGAGGGCAGCACAGCCATTTGTCTAATGTTCTCCAGCAACTGCTATACAGAGGCACACAGCCACTGATAATGAAAGTATCTTGGCTACTAGCCATCAATGGTGCTAAACTTCCATGAATTAACACAATCTCCTTCAAAAGCAGCTTGAAGTTGGCACAGGAGTGTGACAAGTGTGGTCTGAGTGTTGGGCTCAGACTCCAGAGACTAGTGTCCGCTCAGGCAAACTGTACTCCCTCAGCCTCAGAGGAAAACAATATCAAAATCCCTTCTCAACAAATCTTGCCAAGTCTTGTGACAGGTTCACCTTGGGGTCATTGCAAGTCAGAAACACTTGAAGGTAAACAACACCAATGGCTGCCATTGCTGCATCCTGTGGCAGAGTCTCACTGCTTGTGTGGAGGAGCAGCGCTGTCTTCTTGCCTGCCTTGAGCCTCCTCAGACTAAACCCCAAACCAGGTTCCTCAATAGGAAGATAGTGCTTAAATGAGGGGAAGTAGTAGTCCCACTCTCTTCTGCTCTGGTCAAACCACACCAGGAGTAAAGGATCCAGTTCTGGGCCTCACAATTAAGAATGATATTGACAAGAATGAAGGTGCCCAGAGAAACACCACCAAAATGATCAAAGGCAGTAGTTCCCAACCTTTGGTCCTCCAGTTGTTTTGGACTCCAACTCCCAGAAATCCCAGCCACCTTACTAGGAATTGTGGGAGCTGGAGTCCAAAACACCTGGTTGGGAACCACTGATCGAAGGTCTGGAAACCATGAATCCCTATGAGAAGTGGCTTAAAGAGCTGTCTATGTTTAACTTGGAGAAAAGACGGAAGAGTGGACAAATTCAAATGAAAGGAAAGCTGATTCCACATAAACATGAGGAAGAACTTCCTGGTGTTCACAGCTGTTCTGATGGTGTAATCTGCTGCTTGGGAGTTTGCTTGAGGTTTTCAAACAGAGGCTGATGATGGGCATCTCATCAAAAGGGGCAAAAAGGGGTTTGACTGGATAAGCCCTTAGGGTCCCTCCCAATTGTATGATCCGGCAACTCCAAGGAGTCTGTGGCTTTAAGCCACGGCAGTTCAAAACCATGTCAAATTGCATAGAATCTACAGTTTAACTCAAAGTTCAGATCTTTATAGACGAGAAGCTCAGACCTCTTTGGCTACATTGGGCTTGTGAGGTCACAATCTCTGAGGATGCTTGCCTGCCTGCCTACCTGCGTGACCGCATTTCTGTATACGAACCCACACAATCTCTTCGATCATCTGGAGAGACCCTTCTCACGCTCCCACCTGCATCACAAGCACGATTGGTGGGGACGAGAGAGAGAGAGAGAGGGCCTTCTCGGTGGTGGCCCCTCGACTCTGGAACTCACTCCCTAAGAACATCAGGCATGCCCCATCTCTGGCAGTCTTAAGGAGGAACTTGAAAACGTGGTTGTTCCAGTGTGCCTTCCCAGAATAACGAACCCTTAGCATTATGTCCTCCAAAAGCACTTTATATCGATTTAGGACTGCTTGTACGTCCCCTTCAACGCCACACCTCCTTCATCTTGTTCATGCCTAGCATTATTTTTTAAACTTCAATTACATTTGGCCAAGCCATAGATTTTAAATGTGCACTGTACCTTGTTTAATGTTTATGCTATTTGTCCGAACGTATCCTCCCCTATGAACCATCAAGATTGCTAAGATCGTCTGGAGGGGCCCTGCTCTCGATCCCACCGACCTCACTGGCGCGGCTGGTGGGGACGAGAGACAGGGCCTTCTCGGTGGTGGCCCCTCGACTCTGGAACTCCCTTCCACTGAAGATCAGAACTGCCCCTTCTATCTTAACGTTCAGGAAACAGGTGAAAACTTGGCTTTGGGAATTGGCATTCGACGAATGAGCCATGATCCTGTGATATGGATGAATGACGACGAATAATGATTTTTGATGACGACTGACCACTGTAATTATATGATTGTATTTTGCTATTTTAATGTTTTAGTGTGATTTAGAATATGATGTTTTAATGACTGTCTGTAACATTGATGTTGGAAACCGGCCTGAGTCCCTCGAATGGAGGTGAGAAGACCGGGATACAAAACTGCTAAATAAATAAATACATTTATTTTAATTGCTTTGTATTGTGTCTGTTATTGCTTGTATTGCCTGTATCGATGTATTGTGGGCTCGGCCTCATGTAAGCCGCACCGAGTCCCTTGAGGAGATGGTAGCGGGATATAAATAAAGTCTTATTATTATTTATTGCCATAGATGCAGGCGAAAGATCAGGAGAGAATGCCTCTAGAACATGGCCATATAGCCCGAAAAAACCTACAACAGCCCACTTCACAGTCCTCTCAGGCTTTGCCCTGAAACACTCAGCGACTCTGAGCAAGTGAAAAATGCCTCGGGTCTGAGTATGTACATCAGGGCCTGGTGCCAACTTCGGCCCTCCTTCCAGGCATTTTGGACTTCAACTCCCGCAATTCCTTAGGGAGCTGAAGTCCAAAACACCTGGAGCGAGGACCAAAGTTGGCACCAGGCCTGGTGTAAAAGGCACACCAAAGGGAGCCTGGAACCAGGTGAAAACCTGGGGAGTGGGAGGGTGTCTCTGAGCATAGCTTCCGAGCACAATTCAAAGTGCTGGTGTTAACCTATAAAGCCCTAAACGACTCCGGCCCAGTTTACCTGTCCGAACGTATTCTCCCCCATGAACCATCTAGGTTGTTAAGATCGTCTGGAGGGGCCCTGCTCTCGGTCCCACCGGCCTCACAAGCGCGTCTGGTGGGGACGAGGGACAGGGCCTTCTCAGTGGTGGCCCCTCGACTCTGGAACTCTCTCCCACTGGAGATCAGAACTGCCCCCTCCATTCTGTCGTTCAGAAAACGGGTGAAAACCTGGCTATGGGGTTTGGCTTTCGACAAGTGAATCAATATTTCTGTGATCGGATAGATGACGATGAATGACGGACAACGAATTCACTATGACGCCTGACCATTGTTATTATGTGATTGCATTTTGCTGTTATAACGTTTTAACTCAATATGTTATATGATGTTTTTAATGATTGTTTTGTGAAGGCGACTCACAGCGGTTCACAACCAATACGAACAGCAAAAATTCAGTGCTACAGTATAAAAACAGTTAACAACCTAACACATTACACAATTAATAAACAGTTACTACAATACCCATTCACTGCCGTCTCATCATCAAAAACATGTTCCAGATTCGTCATCCATTGTTCCATTCTAGTGTTCATTAACTAATCATTGCACTAATTATTCGAACGCCTGCTCAAACAGCCAGGTCTTCACCTTTTTGCGGAATACCATTAGAGATGGTGCTAGTCTAATGTCCGTAGGAAGGGCGTTCCACAGCCGAGGAGCCACCACCGAGAAGGCCCTATCTCTCGTCCCCGCCAGCCGAGCTTGAGAAGCAGGAGGGATCGAGAGCAGGGTCTCCCCGGAAGATCTCAAAGTCCTGGTGGGTTCATAGGCAGAGATGCGGTCAGATAGGTAGCTTGGGCCGGAACCGTTTAGGGCTTCAAAGGCCAACACCAGCACCTTGAATTGAGTCCGGTAGCAGATCGGTAGCCAGTGCTTCCCAACCTTGTTTCCTCCTTCCTCCTTTAGAAAGAATAGTTCACAGTCCTCTCAAGCTTTGCCTTGAAACACTCAGCAACTAACTCTGAGCATGTGCAAAGTGCCTCAGGTCTTTCCTGGCACCATATTCGGCGATCAGAGGGTGACTCTGAGCATGTACACCAGGCTTGGGCCAACTTCGGCCCTCCCTCCAGGTGTTTTGGACTTCAACTCCCGCAATTGCGGGAGTTGAAGTCCAAAACACCTGGAGGGAGGGCCGAAGTTGGCCCAGGCCTGGTGTAAAAGGCACTCCAATGGGAGCCTGGAAGTAGGTGAAACCCTGAGTGGTGGGAGTGTGTCCCTGAGCATGTGCAGAGTGCTGTCCCAGCCGCCCCCCGAAGCCTCCAGGTGCGGCCCGGGCCTGTTTACTCACGGTGCGTGCCTGCCTTCGGAGGAGGTAGAGGAGGAAGCCCCAGAGCTTGGCGGCGAAGGCGAGGAAGGCCCGGAGGCCCAGCAGGCACTGCGAGCGCATCATCCTCCCGCCGGCGGGGCCCGCCCCCCCCGCGCCCCCGGACCGGCCCAGCTCCGCCAGCTTCCGGCCAGGAAGGGGCGGCCGGAGGGAGGAGGAGAAGGGCCCTCAGCCCGGGACAGCCATCTCCGCTCTCGCCCGCCCGCCTCACACTTCCCCGCCGACTCCTGCTTCTGCTGCTTCTTCTTCTTCTTCAAGTCCACTTCCGGGGCAACCGCTGAGGCCACTTCCGGAGCAAAAGAAGGCGCGCCCAATGGCAGAGCTCGGAGGAGGAAAAGGGAAGCCGGGGAAATCCGCGCATGCGCAACAGAGCCGCGCTGGTTTCTCGAAGCGGCTTTGGGAAGGAGCGGGAAAAAGAGCCGCTGTGGCAGAGGATTCCGCGCATGCGCGCGACGGGGGGAAAGGACTAAATGAGGTGACGGGGAGTGTGCGCATGCGTGCGTGGTCCCAAGGCACACAAGAGGGCAGCAAGGCGCATGCGCCCAAGAGCCACCTGCCTTTCTTTCTCCCATTTACTTACTCTAAGCTTTCCACTCAGCTGAATACAATCCCACATTATCTGCATTGTATTAGAATACAATGCTATACTAATAATATAATATTATTAGTTATATTATTATATTACATATAATAATATTACATATCATTATATGTAATATAATGCAATTTATTTATTTATTTACTTAGACCGGTTTCCAACCATAATATCACATACAATCAATAAAACATCACAATACATATTACAGTAAAACATTAAAACAGCAATTACAATCAATAACTATAATGGTCAGTCGTCACACTAAAATCATTGCTCATCCATCCTCCATCCATATCTCAGGGTGTTGGCTCACTCGTCGAATGCCTGTCTCCATAACCAAGTCTTCACCTGTTTCCTAAATGTCAGGATAGAAGGGGCGGTTCTGATCTCCAGTGGGAGAGAGTTCCAGAGTCGAGGGGCCACCACCGAGAAGGCCCTGTCCCTCGTCCCCACCAGCCGTGCTTGTGCAGGCGGTGGGACCGAGAGCAGGGCCCCTCCGGATGATCTTAGTGGTCTTGATGGTTCGTAGGGGAGAATGCGTTCGGAGAGGTAAACAGGGCCGGAGTCGTTTAGGGCTTTATAGGTTAACACCAGCACTTTGAATTGTGCTCGGAAGCTAATCGGCAGCCAGTGGAGTTCAAGTAACAGCGGAGTGGTGTGCTCCCTGTACCCAGCACCCGTTAGTAGTCTGGCTGCCGCGCATTGTACTTGCTGCAGCTTCCGGGCAGTCTTCAGAGGCAACCCCACGTAGAGAGCGTTGCAGTAATCTAAACGGGATGTAACCAAAGCGTGTACTACCGTGGCCATACTAATGCTATACTAATAATATAATACTATATGTAATATAATGTAATATATTGTATATACAGATAATATTCATAATATTATAATGTAATATAATGTAATACTAATAATATGATATAGCACTGGGATTGTGGCGCAGCTGGCTGAGTGTCAGCTGCATTAAGATCACTCTGACCAAAAGGTCATGAGTTCGAAGCCAGCCCGGGCTGGAGTGGGTGTCCAGCCATTGTGTAGCCCGTTGTCGACCTTTGCAACCCGAAAGACAGTTGCATCTGTCAAGTAGGAAAATAAGGGACCACCTTGTGTGGGAGGCTAAATTTAACTAATTTATGAGGCCATAAAGAAAAAAGACTCCGGGGAATGTGGAATGCGGAAGAACTTCATCAGTGTCGTTGATGGATGATGAAAAGCAGCAGCTCCCCTGGCGGCCAGAAAAAAGTTAAATAGCCTTGGTGTATTTGTCTGTTAAATGTTGTTTGTCAAACTGGCATTGAATGTTTGCCATATATGTGTTTACTGTAATCCACCCTGAGTCCCCTGCGGGGTGAGAAGGGCGGAATATAAGAACTGTAAATAAATAAAATAAATAAATATGATATTGCTAATAATATTACAAAATAATAGTACAATATAGTATTATATATTACTAATATTTATCTGCTTTGTATCAGAACACAATGCGATACTAATAATATAATATTATTATATATAATACAATGTAGTGTATATACATATGATATTGCTAATATTACAAAATAATAGTACAATATAGCAATATATAATATTGATATTTATCTGCTTTGTATTGGAATACAATGCTATACTAATAATATAATATAATTATATGTAATAGAATGTAATATATTGTATATACAGATAATATTCATAATATTATAATGTAATACAATATACTACTAATAATATGATATTATAATTATATATTTTATATTACATGAAATATTGCTAATAATATTAAAAAATAGTAGTACAATATAGTAATATGTAATACTGATATTTATCTGCTTTGTATCGGAATACAATGCTATACTAATAATATTATATTATTAGTTATATTATTAATATTATATTACATATAATAATATTACATATTATATGTAATATAATGTAATATATTGCACATACATATAATATTAATAATATTATAATGTAATACAATATAATACTATTAATAATATATTATAATTATATATTTTATATTACATGAAATATTGCTAATAATATTACAAAATAATGGTATAGTACAATATATCGGAATACAATGCTAACTAATAATATAATATTATATGTAATATAATGTGATATATTGTATATACATATAATATTCATAATACTATAATGTAATATAATACTAATAATATGATATTCTAATTATTTATTTTATATTACATGAAATATTGCTAATTATATTACAAAATAATAGTACAATATAGTAATATATAATACTGATATTTATCTGCTTTGTATTGGAATACAATACTATACTAATAAATATTATATTATTAGTTATATTATTAATATTATTATATTCCTTATAATAATATTACATATTATTATATGGAATATAATGTGATATATTGTATATACAGATAATATTCATAATATTATAATGTAATACAACATAATACTAATAACAACATATTATAATTATATATTTTATATTACATGTAATATTACTAATAATATTACAATATAATGGTATAGTACAATATAGTAATATATAATACCTATATTGTACTATCAATATCATATTGTACTATCAATATTGTACAATATATTGTATATGCATATAATATTCATGATATTATAATGTAATATAATATAATATAATACTTCTAACAATATATTATAATTATATATTTTATATGTAATATTACTAATAATATTACCATATAATGGTATAGTATAATATAGTAATCTATAATACTGATATTGTGAAGAGAGTGTACTGTGCTAATAATATAATACAATATATTGTATATACCTTTTATATTCAACAATATTATAATATATTTTATATTCCATGTAATATTACTAATAATATTACAATATAATGGTATAGTACAATATAGTAATATATAATACTGTACTCTGCTAATAATATAATATAATATATTGTACGTATATATATCTTGTAAGGTGCTCTGAGTTCCCTTCGGGGTGAGAAGGGCAATAAAAATGTCATAAATAAATAAATGGATGGCAGTGTGGACTCAGGGCTCTTCCACACAGCCATATAATTTAGAATATCAAGGCAGAAAACCCACAATATCTGCTTTGAATTGGAATATATTGCAGTGTGGACTCAAGTATCTCAGTTCAAAGTAGAGTATCAAGGCAGGAAATCCCACAATATATGCTTTGAACTGAGATATTTTACTCCACCCTGCAATATATTCCATTTCAAAGCAGATAATATATAATTTATGGCTGCGTGAAATGGCCATATAACCCAGATTATCATGGCATATAATCCGTAATACCTGCTTTGAAATGAATTCTCTGAGTCCACACTGCTATACAATCCAATGTGGATTTTACACAGCTGTGTGGAAGGGGCCTTTCTACAATGCCATACAAAATCCATGTTATCTGATTTGAACTGGATTATATGGCTGTGTAGACTCAGATATAGGGCGGTATAGAAATATGGTATATAAAATAAATAAATATAATCCTGTTCACAAGTTAAATATTCCACAAGTTAAAAACATGCTGGGAGTGTTCATGAACAGTCGAATTGTTTATTCGTCTTGCTACAAAACCCCAAATATCTGGATGCTCCATCCTCTCCTCTGTCCCACCAGCCATAGCTTACTCTATCAAATATTTAGAAAGTAAACATTTACGAGATGAAATGATGCATCGCGGATTCTTCTTGAATGGAAACCCCAAATTCCCTTTAAAGAGCAATGGCAACTGGGGTCTTTCTTTGCCATTTGACCTTGCGGCTTCGTTCTACTGTCTTCTCTCTGAGAAGGTCCATCCAAGGCAAATGTCCTGCTGGGAGATGCCAACAAAGGAAGACCACCAAGATGGCAACTTTGGAAGAAGGCACTGGAATGGACCCAATTCTGGCTATTTTGCAGAATCCCACCTAGGAGACCAACTTGGGTGAGTCTCCCTTCGAATAAGAGTTCCAGTTCTGTGTGTTTCACACATCCAAGTCATCGTCCGGATCTTCGTCGTCTATGTCATCTGCAGCATCCGGTTCGTAGTAGATCTTGCCTTGGCCGGTTGGCCCTTGCAGCAGAGATGACTTCCTGGAAGGAAAGCAGAAAAGAGGGTGAGCATGTTGGGGGACAAAAAAACAAAACGACAGGACAGGTTCCTGTATGATAGTTGGGAATGCATCTTTTTCTTCTCTCTTCTTGCTCTCATTCTGATTGGTTGTTTACTGCAAGCCTTTTTAATCTGCCTTCTGCCTTGTTACATTTTAGTATGGAGAGTGTGTGCTGTGTGCTTTGAGATCTCTCTCTGCTTGTGTGTCAGGAGAGATGTAGTGATTGAGTTTTTCCCTCTATTGAAACCTTAGTTCTTTACTATTAAGAATGTAGTTGGTTATCTATCTATCTATCTATCTATCTATCTATCTATCTATCTATCTATCTATCTAAAAATGCTCTGTGCATAACAAGTACCTTAAAAACAAAAGAACCAATGAACGAAATCACACCAAATTTGGCAGCAAAACATCTCACAACACAAGGAGTGACCATCACTCAAAAATTATTATTTTTGTCATTAGGGAGTTGTAGTTGCTGGGATTTATAGTTCACCTACAATCAAAGAGCATTCTGAACTCCATCAATGATGGAATTGAACCAAACTTGGCACACAGAACTCCCATGACCAACAGAAAATACTGGAAGGGTTTGGTGGGCATTGACCTTGAGTTTGGGAGTTGTAATTCACCTACATCCAGAGAGCACTGTGGACTCAAACAATGATGGATCTGGACCAAACTTGGCACAAGCACTCAATACACCCAAATATGAACACAGATGGAGTTTGGGGAATAGACCTTGACATTTGGGAGTTGTAGTCACTGGGATTCACAGTTCACCTACAATCAAAGAGCATTCTGAACCCCACGAATGACAGAATGGGGCAAACTTCCCACACAGAACCCCCATGACCAACAGAAAATACTTAAGACCATCCAGTCCAACTCCCTTCACCAGGGCAAGAAAACGTAATCAAAGCCCTCCTGACAAAGAGCCATCCAGCCATAGATAGATATAGATAGATAGATAGATAGATAGATAGATAGATAGATAGATAGATAGATAGATATGATTCACACACAGAGATATAGTATCATAGATTTGAAAGGGACCCTTAAAGAAGGACAATGATATGTTGCATGTTCTAGGGTGGGCAAACCACATCAACACTGACAAAGAAACAGCAAGAAATACTGTTTACCCACAAGCAGAAAGAAATTACATAGATTAGAAACCAACACTTTCTAATTACTTTATTTTCCAAATCAACAGACTGGGCCACAGCAACGAGTGGCTGGGGACAGCTAGTTATCTATATAAATAAAAATGTAATGTTCATTTGTGGGATTTACATAACTCAAAAACCACTGGGCAAATGGACACCGAATTTGGACACAATACACCTCTCAGGCCAATGAGTGACCATCACTCATAAAAACACTGAAAAACACAGCGGAAGGGACGTAAAATTCTAAAAAATAAAAAGAATACATTACAATGCATGCGCAAAACCACATATACACAAATATACACTCACACAAAACACATATACACAAACTGGGACACAGTAATGTGTGACAGGGGACGGCTAGTCTATATAAATAAAAATGTAATGTTTGTGGGATTAACATAACTCAAAAACCACTGGACGAATTGTCACCAAATTTGGACACAATACACCTATCAGGCCAACGAGTGACCATCACTCATAAAACACTGAAAAAAACAGCAGAAGAGACTAAAAAAGTAAAAAAAAACATTACAATGCATGCACAAAACCACACATATATACACAAATACACATATACACAAATATATACACCCATATATACACTCACACAAAACACATATACACAAACTGGGCCAGAGTAATGCGTGACAGGGGATGGCTAGTCTATATAAATAAAAATGTAATGTTCGTTTGTGGGATTAACATAACTCAAAAACCACTGGACGAATTGTCACCAAATTTGGACACAATACACCTATCAGGCCAACAAGTGACCATCACTCATAAAAACACTGAAAAACACAGCAGAAGAGACTAAAAAAGCTAAAAAAAATACATTACAACACATTTGAAAGCCGTATATATATATATACACACAAATACACACACACACACATATATATGCACATTGCACCTACCTCCAAATACCTCTATATATTCCCTGTCAAGTTCAGCACTTTTAAATTTTGTCTATTATATTTGGCCCGGCCTTTAGGTTTTAACTGCGTTCACAGTGTCATCGTTTTACTGTTTTATTGTTTTGCTTGATGTTTATTATTTGCTTATGAGTTTTATTGTGTATTGTATGTTGTTGTTGTCAGTGGCCTTGGCCTTTGTAAGCCACATCGAGTCCTTCAGGAGATTTTGCGGGGTATAAATAAAGATAATAATAATAATAATAATAATAATAATAATAATAATATACACATATATATACACACAAAACACATGTACACACACTGCACCACAGCAACACAAACACAGCAACGCGTGGCAGGGGACAGCTTGTTGTAAATAAACCTGTGATTTTTAAGATTGGACTCTGCCTGTTTGCCTCCTAATCTCTTAAATCTTTGCAGCCACATCACACGACACTTCAGGCTCTGCTCGATAATGAGCTGATGCTCAGCTTTTGTATCCTGTTTGTTTTGGGGTGCTCTGCTGTATATTTAGGGTAGGTTTTCCCAAACCAAAACAATTGAAAGTATTCAGAAAGGAAGGGAAGGCAAAGAGGAGAAATGGACGCAACATACTTACTTCTCGTCACTGAACTGGTATGGGAGAGGCACCGATTCTTTGGCCCGACGCTCTGCCTCCGAGAGGCGTAGGTTGAAGGTTAGGTTAGCCGTGGGGTCAGCCTGAGAGAATCCAAAAATAGGATGAAGTCAACAGTCAAAATCAGTTGGGAAAGCAAGTGCAGAGAGAAGAGCATATACGACCTGATATACAGTCTGTTCGTAAAGTCTCTTTACCATTGAAAATGGTACTATTGAAATGGTAAAGAGTCTTTATGTGCACCCTGTACATAAGAACATTAAGAAGGCTACCCCAAAACACCCTTCCCACTCCACTTCTCCAGGAACTGATACAGTTTAGTTCCTTCAGTTAGCAGTTTTAATTTGGGACAAGTGGAATGAGGAAGATATTTCCCACCCTGTACTGAGGATTACCTGGGAAGGAATCCCACTGGAGCATTGCAACACACCCAAATACCTGGGAGTCACTTTGGACCGTGCTCTGACCTACAAGAAGCACTGCCTGAACATCAAGCAAAAAGTGGGTGCTAGAAACAATATCATACGAAAGCTGACTGGCACAACCTGGGGATCACAACCAGACACAGTGAAGACATCTGCCCTTGCGCTATGCTACTCTGCTGCTGAGTATGCATATCCAGTGTGGAACACATCTCACCACGCTAAAACAGTGGATGTGGCTCTTAATGAGACATGCCGCATTATCACAGGGTGTCTGCGCCCTACACCACTGGAGAAATTACACTGTTAGCCGGTATTGCACCACGTGACATCCGCCGGGAAGTAGCAGCCAATAGTGAAAGGACCAAGGCAGAGACATCTCCAGCTCATCCCTGTTTGGGTATCAGCCAGCACGTCAACGACTTAAATCTAGAAATAGTTTTCTAAGATCTACAGAGACACTCGCTGGAACACCTCAGCAAGCGAGAGTCCCAAAAGTGGCAGGCTCAAACCCAGCACCTCAATCCGTGGGTGATACCGGATGAGAGACTCCCCCTGGGCACACAGAAGACTGGGCGACTTGGAAGGCGCTGAACAGACTGCGCTCTGGCACCACGAGATGCAGAGCCAACCTCAGAAATGGGGCTACAAAGTGGAATCCTCGACATGCGAGTGTGGAGAAGAGCAAACCACTGACCACCTGCTGCAATGCACCCTGAGCCCTGCCACATGCACAATGGAGGACCTTCTTGCGGCAACACCAGAGGCACTCCAAGTGGCCAGATACTGGTCAAAGGACATTTAACCAACTACCAAGTTTGCAAAATCTGTGTGTTATTTTTTCTTTTTCTTTTTAATCTGTGTGTTTGTTTTGTTCTGTTAGAATTGTAATACAATGGTATGGTTGCTGATGACACGATAAATAAATAACTGAGAAAAGTGCGGGGAAAGTCACAGGACCGTCCAATCAACTGTCTTTATATTAGCAACTAATACTATCAGGGAAGGGAAGGGCGCACAAACCACGTCAGTCGCATCGTCCTTCTCAGTAACTTCTCCAGAAACGGCAGCCGGAGATGGTTCTCCAAGATGTTTCAAGGCAAAGCCCGGGAGGACTGTGAAGTATTCTTTCTAGAGGAGGGAAGAGAAGGCAAGGTTGGGAGGAAAGTTGACCAGACGCAGATGTATTTGGGCTTCCTTTTCCAAAGTGGATCCAAGAAAGCGAGATTATGCCTGCTCCATGCGCTGCAGCCGAGATACAGAGTCAACCATTTCTCACCTTCTGGACAACTTTGTTCCGTCTCTTCCGATACAACGTCACAGCGACTCGAGGACCACCGTCCCCTTGTTTCAGGGTCACTACAGACCGGGCCAAGGCGTGCAGGGCTTTGAGTTGTTCAGGTGGGTGCAAGTCCCCGTGAAGGAGGGCCACGAACGTGCGGATCCTCACACCTGCCAAGTGAACATGCACAGAGATATCTCAAGGCTTCATGGCTGCCAGCTCTTTACCAAACTAAATAATAATAAATAATAATAAACTTTATTTATACCCCGCCACCATCTCCCCCAACGGGGACTTGGGGCGGCTTAATCATAGAATCATAGAATCAAAGAGTTGGAAGAGACCTCATGGGCCATCCAGTCCAACCCCCTGCCAAGAAGCAGGAATATTGCATTCAAATCACCTCCGACAGATGGCCATCCAGCCTCTGTTTAAAAGCTTCCAAAGAAGGAGCCTCCACCACACTCCGGGGCAGAGAGTTCCACTGCTGAACGGCTCTCACAGTCAGGAAGTTCTTGCTCATGTTCAGATGGAATCTCCTCTCTTGTAGTTTGAAGCCATTGTTCCGCGTCCTAGTCTCCAAGGAAGCAGAAAACAAGCTTGCTCCCTCCTCCCTGTGGCTTCCTCTCACATATTTATACAATGAGGCCAAGCCCAAACAACAAATTACAATAAAATTTAAAAAATGCAAATTACAATGAAATAAACAACATATACAATAAACAATATACACAAAACATTAAAAAAAAAAACAACCCTAAACTGTTCCTGGAACTCCTGGAGGGATTGTGGCTAACCTTTGACAGAGTGGAAGAATCAGAAGCCGCAGTTTATCAACAGCAGAGCTTTCCAAACTGTGGGTCGCAGCACACTAGTGGAGGGGTCCACTGGATTCCTAGGCAGTCTATACTTCCCTACAGTCAGAAGGGACCCCCAAAGGGTATCTAGTCCAACCCTCTTCAGCCAGGCAGGAAAACTCAGGCTCCTACATAGAATCATAGAATCAAAGAGTTGGAAGAGACCTCATGGGCCATCCAGTCCAACCCCATTCTGCCAAGAAGCAGGAATATTGCATTCAAATCACCCCTGACAGATGGCCATCCAGCCTCTGTTTAAAAGCTTCCAAAGAAGGAGCCTCCACCACACTACGGGGCAGAGAGTTCCACTGCTGAACGGCTCTCACAGTCAGGAAGTTCTTCCTCATGTTCAGATGGAATCTCCTTTCTTATAGTTTGAAGCCATTGTTCCCTTGCGTCCTAGTCTCCAGGGAAGCAGAAAGGAAGCTTGCTCTCTCCTCCTCCCTGTGGCTTCCTCTCACATATTTATACATGGCTATCATATCTCCTCTCATCCTTCCCTTCTTCAGGCTCCTACACTGCCATATAATACAGAGTATTACAGTCACTTACATCTCCACCATCAAGACACTACACTTGGAGGGCCATCATACTCAGACAAGGGATCGCCTAAATAAATAAGTAAGTATGAGTCTACACTGCCATATAATCCAGGTCAAAGCAGATAATCTGGATTTTATATGGCAATATAGAAGGGGCCACAGTCAAAGCACCCTTGGAAGGCCACCCAGCCTGTTAAAAAACCTACAGAGGTTTAATCCCTACTGAGTGTGAAGTGCTACTGATGTATCGGTACTGCAATAACTTTTATAATTTGCACAATTTGTGTATTGAGTTGCAGTAATTATGACAAAAATGGACACGTTTCTAATTAGAAAAAGAAAATCTGTTGACAATGATGTTTGTGAGGATAATAATAATAATAATAACAACAACGTTATTCTTATATTCCATCACCGTCTCTCCAAAGGGACTCGGGGTGGCTTACAGATGGCACAAAGTGCCTAAAAACAAAAATACAATAAATTTGGGGGGATTTGGGAGCCCCTCCCCCCAGCACCAACTGCTGCTCTGGGATCAGAGTGAAGAGAGGGGGCCAGGAAGACAGTTCCACCTTGTCTCCTGCACTGTGCTTATAATACAATATAATATAATATAACATAATATATTGTATATACATTTAGTATTGATATAATGTAATACAAGATAATAATATGATATTATAACTATATATTTTCTCTTACATGTAATATTACTAATAATATTACAGTATAATGGTATAGTACGCTATAGTAATATATAACCCTAATACTGTGCTATGGTAATAATATAATATATTGTATTTACGTATTATTTGTAAGCCACTCTGAGTCCACTTCAGGGTGAGAAGGGTGGCATAAAAATGTCATAAATAAATAAGACGTGTAAAGAGAAAATGTCTAAACTTTGTAAACATTATCTGAAACTCAAACATATGTAAATACACACACACACACACACACACATATGAGAGCCCATTGGGGGAGATAGAGTGGGGTATAAATAAAGTTTTATTATATATCTTTCTCTCTTATAAAGGGTTTGCTGGAAAAACTGAATTACCATGTCTAAAAAGTGTGTCTCCAACAGAAAAATTGTCTGAAAGCTCGATCTAGAGCTTGGGAAAAGACAGTCATTTAGGTTGCAGCTGCCCAAATTCCCAGCCAGAATATTAGCTGAAGGAATCTGGACACTATTTTCCAAAAAAAGAGGAAGGTTTAAAAGCCTCACTCACTTCTATTGCAACTTGTCATGCTAGTTCACTTCACTTCACTTTATTTCTTAATTAGTCGCTCTCCACCAAGGTGCTCCCAGCGACTTACAATCTAAAATAGCATTTACACAATATAAAAACATTCAACATAAAAACATACAACAGTGACTATTTGGCAAATTAGATCTGATTACTTAAATGCACAACCAAACAGCCAAGTCTTGAGGCTTTCTGGATGTCATGGTCCACAAAATATGAAGTCCCCCCCCCCCCCCCCCAAGTCACCTGTAGTCCAACTGGAAGAAAAAGCTGAGGAAAGATAGACAGAGAAAAGCAGACCTGGCACTATCAATGGCTGGGGGATTCTGAGAGTTGTAGTCCACCAAAGGAACCTTCTGAGTGGCGACACTTTGCATCTCTGACTCACCGACAGTATTAGCTCTCTTGGGCAGCTGGGCCAAAACCTGGCAGACGCTGGGAAATGGGAGACGGAGAAGCAGCCAGCTGAGGGAATCCAGCACCAGAGTCGCAGGTCCTTGTGCCGCCTGAGACAAGCGCAGCACCAGCTGCGGAGCTGAGAAATCTCTCACCGTAATGCCACTTCCTGCTCCAGACCAGCCGAGGGGGTCCTGGAAGCCGTCATGGATGAATAGCCTGGGGGAAAAGGGGATTATGATCCACCACAATCGGTGCATCAGGACGTTTTGAGAGAATATGAGATGATGGTTTCTCTCAATCTACTACTGATGAAGCCTAGAATCACATTGGCCTTTTTTGCTGCTGCAACACACTACTGGCTGATGTTCAGCTTGTGGTCTCCTAAGACTCCTAGATCCCTTTCACATGGACTGCTTTCAAGCCAAGTGTCACCCTTCCTACATCTGTGCATTGCTTGTTTACTGCCTAAGTGGTTACCGTGCAGGTATGTTAGGAATTGTGGGAGTTGAAGTGCAAAACACCTCGAGGACTGAAATTTGCTGCTTTATCCCTATTAAACTCTAAGTGTTCTGTCGCCGCTGGGCCTGTATTTGGTTGACTTTAAAATAGGATGTGTAACCTTTGCCCAGCGGGAAGCCCAAGGAGAAGTTCTCAGGGGCTTCCTTTACAAAAGAATCTTCAGATGACTTGAGAAATACAAAGTCTTTTATTAATGAAATCAAACAGGAACTTCAAGGTTTTCTTGATAGTCTATTGGTTCTCTCAATCTTGTCCACAGGGGACAGGCACTGTCTTCAATAACTTTTCTTTAAAGGAAAATTCCCCTTTTTAACTTCTCCCAGGCTGACTGAAATCCAACCCTCACTGATGTGGGCTCCGCTACCGGGCCGAACTGCTTCTTGGATGCTGAGTGGACCTACCAGCAAGGCAGTGGATGTTTTCCAGCTGGAGTTCTTTAGTCTTTAAGGCTGTTTTCCTGGAGTTCTTAAAGCTGTTCTCCCCTGGATTGCTTAAAGCTGTGGGAATGCTTCCCTGGCGTTCTTTCCCTGGAGATTCTTAAAGGTTGAAGCCTTTGTACAGGGGAAGTTACACACATCCTATACATTGGCTAACCTAGCTTAGACTAACTAACAAAATGGCTCACTTCCCTCCAAAGCCCAAAAAGGGGGCGGGACTAGGGAACCTAATAATAATTGACAAGCAATTGACCCAATAGCTGCAAAGTAAGGAAAGCCATGTAACTGCAAAGGCATAGAACTTTAAAATACATGCAGCAATCAACAAATAGCAAGATATATATATAGCAACAAATAGCATTTGCACAGCTAAAGCTTGTGCGCCAGCTGCGCCCGTACCTTGGGAAGTCTGACTTGGCCACGGTAGTCCACGCTCTGGTTACATCCCGTTTAGACTACTGCAACGCTCTCTACGTGGGGTTGCCTTTGAAGACAGCTCGGAAGCTCCAACTAGTCCAACGCTCGGCAGCCATGATTTTAACAGGAGCGGAGCGCAGGGAGCATACAACCCCCCTGTTGCGCCAACTCCACTGGCTACCGATCTGCTACCGGGCTGAATTCAAAGTGCTGGCGTTGGCCTTTAAAGCCCTAAACGGTTCCGGCCCAAGCTACCTATCTGACCGCATCTCTGCCTATGAACCCACCAGGAGTTTGAGATCTTCCGGGGAGACCCTGCTCTCGATCCCGCCTGCTTCTCAAGCTCGGCTGGCGGGGACGAGAGATAGGGCCTTCTCGGTGGTGGCTCCTCGGCTGTGGAACGCCCTTCCTACGGACATTAGACTAGCACCATCTCTAATGGTATTCCGCAAAAAGGTGAAGACCTGGATGTTTGTGCAGGCGTTTGAGTAATTTAGTGCAATCTGGTAATGGAACATAGGAATGGAACAATGGACGACGAACCTGGACTACGCTTGGATGATGAGAAGATTGGGAACGGTTGTTTTTTGTAATAATTGTGCATTGTAATTGCTTATTGGTAATTTATGTATAATGTGTTAAGTCAATTGTTATATGTTGTATGGAACCACTGCTGTTTCTACTGTTTTACTGTTTGTGAACCGCTGTGAGTCGCCTTCGGGCTTGAGATACAGCGGTATATAAGCAAAGTAAATAAATAAATAAATAAATAAGCTGGAGCTCCTGGTGCGGCTGTCCCAGAACACTAAGCCAATAGAAAATGACTCCTCCACTCACCGAGAGGCCACTTCCGGGGTGAATCCCGCCTTGAATCCTTCCTCAGGAACATCGAAGTTAATCACATGGACAGATTCACCTCTAAAAAATAATTTTTAAAAATAATTTAAAAATAACACAGGCCATTTCATTATTGACTTTCTGCCAGGCTTCCGGGAACAGAGTCTAAAGGTATTGTAATAATAGTGAGCAGTTTTGTCATTTGTGTGTGTGTTTGGCCTTTTAATGAACTGTACAAGGTTTTAACTTTATAGATGGTTTAGATAATAGACATAAGCATTTGTTTCTATGTTTTTGATCTGTTGTTGTTGTTGTTGTTGTGTGGTTAGCCGAATCCTTCTTCATAACTCTGAAACTCATGAAGGCCAGGAAAAAACAATGCTTTCTGGTCACCCTGACTCCTTTCCCATTATACATTTATAGCACTATGATTTCACTTGTTTTCACCCTATAGAATCCTGGGATTTGCAGTATATGGAAAAGCATTTGAGTTCCCCTCAAACCACAAACATTAGGATTCCATAGGATGCTTGGCAACTGAAGTGGAACCATAGTGTTATATACAAGATGTACCTATTTCTGTGAACATTTTTTTCCGTATATTTAGCAGTGGCTCTCATATTTTTGTCAGCTCCCAGAATTCTTGACTGTTGGCTATGCTTCATGGCTTGACAATAATAATAATAATAATAATAATAATAATAATAATAATAATTTTTTGAAGTCCAAAATACTTAGAAGCTGGAAGAGACTACTTCTGCCATACAGAAAAACATGATCAAAGCCCTCCCAACAGATGGCCATCCAGTCTATCTGTCTGTCTATCTATCTATCTATCTATCTATCTATCTAAATGTAATGTTCATTTGTGGGGAAAACATAACTCAGAAACCACTGGATGAATTGACACAAAATATTGACACAATACACCTAACAATTCAACGAGTGTCTATCACCCCTAAAAACACACAAACCCCCCCCCCCCCAGTTGAATGGACTTAAAACCCCCCAAAATAAACAATATATACATATACATATACACATATACATACATATACATACACTCAGATACATATACATACGCCTGGAGCATCTCGGATGGAGGGCGACTAATAAGTAATTAAAGATGATGATGATGATATGCACACATACATAAACACACACACATATATGCATATACCATACCAGTGGTTCTCAGATGTTTATGGCCTACAACTCCAAGAAATCCCAGTCAGTTTACAAGCTATTAGGATTTCTGGGAGTTGAAGGCCGAAAACATCTGGGGACCCCCTGTACTATACACAAGCACACACAAGTACAGTATACATATACACATATTCACACACATATAGATATATATACACCTAAATACACATATATATGCGTATACACAAATATATACACACAAACATATACACACACCGGGCCACAGCAATACATGGTAGGGGACAGCTAGATGATAATAATAATAATAATAATAATAATAATAATAATAATAATGTATTGTCGAAGGCTTTCATGGCCGGAATCACTCAGTTCTTGTGGGTTTTTTCGGGCTATATGGCCATGTTCTAGAGGAATTTCTCCTGACGTTTCGCCTGCATCTATGGCAGACCTCACCTCTGAGGATGCCTGCCATAGATGCAGGCGAAACGTCAGGAGAAATGCCTCTAGAACATGGCCATATAGCCCGAAAAAACCCACAAGAACTGAATAATAATAATAATAATAATAATAATAATAATAATAATAATAATAGAGCTATAGAATCCTGAAGTTGGAAGGGACCCCAAGGGCCATCCAGTTCAACCTCCTCTCTGCCAGGCAGGAAGACACCATCAAAGCCCTCCTAAGAGATGGCCATCCAGGCACTGTTTAATAATAATACTAGAACTATAGAATCATTTTGAAAGCCTTCAGAGAGGGAGACTCCCAAGTAGCATATTCCACCATCAAACTGCTCTTAGGTCCAGGATGTTTAGGTGGAACCTGGTGGCACAAAGCTTGGGAACCACTGGTTTAGATGAAGAACTCTAAAGCCTGAGTCTTTAGATCAAGGAGTCAACTCTCAATCGTTTGGGAATTTCGGGGCACTCACCTGCGTGCGGATGCTGCTACGAAGCTCTTGAGCAGAGTGCGGCCTTCACAGCTGACAGAGTCTGCAAAGGGGATGGAGGGAGGGAGGAAGGTTAGGAAACGAGACATTCTCCCATTGATTCGAACCCTTCACGGCGCAGCCTCCCATAGTCCTCTCCCTGGTCCTCCGCCATCACAACACAGTTTTGCAATTACAACTTGAGCAGCTGCCCTGCTATGAACATGGGCATCATTGGTGGTTGCCACTGACTTTGGCTTCTCCAGAGGGGGAAATGTGACGCATTAAAAGCCCAGCACATGAACAAACCCAAGGGCCATCCAGTCGAACCCCTTTCTGCCACACTGGATGACACAATCAAAACCCTCCTGTCAGATGGCCATCCAGCCTCTTTATAGTGAAAATAGAACTATAGAATCCTAGAGCTGGAAGAGACCCAAAGGGCTATCTAGTCCACCCCCCTTATGCTAGACAGGAAAACACAATTAAAACCCTCCCGACAGATGGCAATACAGCCTATAATAATAATAATAAACTTATAGAATCCTAGTTGGAAGAGATACCTATGCAGCCTCTAATAATAATAATAATGATGATGATGATGATGATGATGATGATAATATCTTATAGAATTTTAGTTGGAAGAGATCCCAAGGACCATCCTGTCCAACTCCCTTCTACCAGGCCAGAAGACACAATCGAAACCCTCCCGACAGATGGCCATTTAGCCTCTTAATAGTAAAAATAGAACTATAGTATCCTAGAGTTGAAAGAGACCCAAAGGGCCATCTAGTCCATCCCCCTTATGGTAGACAGGAAGACACATTTAAAACCCTCTTGACAGATGGCCGTGCAACCTATAATAATAACAACAACAACAACAATCTTATAGAATTTTAGTCGGAAGAGATCCCAAGGGCCATCCAGTCCAACTCCCTTCTACCAGGCCAGAAGACACAATCGAAACCCTCCCGACAGATGGCCATCCAGCCTCTTAATAGTAAAAAAAGAAATCCAAAGGGCCATCTAGTCCACAACCTTTATACTAGACAGGAAGACACAATCGAAACCCTCCCGACAGATGGCAATGCATCCTAGAATAATAATAATCTTATAGAATTTTAGTCGGAAGAGAGCCCAAGGGCCATCCAGTCCAACTCCCTTCTAACAGCCCAGGAGACACAATCAAAACCCTCTCGACAGATGGCCATCCAGCCTCTTAATAGTAAAAATAGAACTATAGAGTCCTAGAATTGGAAGATATCCAAAGGACCATCTAGTCCACAACCCCTATAATAGACAGGAAGACACAATCAAAACCCTCCCGACAGATGGCCACCCAGCCTCTTAATAGTAAATATAGAATGACAGAATCCTATAGTTGGAAGAGACCTAAAGGGCCATGTAGTCCACCCCCCTTATGCTAGACAAGAAGACACAATCAAAACCCTCTCGACAGATGCCCATGCAGCCTCTAATCAAAATAGACTTATAGAATCCTTGAGTTGGAAGAGATCCCAAGGGCCATCCAGTCCAACTCCCTTCTACCAGCCCARGAGACACAATCAAAACCCTCCCAACAGATAGCCAYGCAGCCTCTAATAATAATAATAATAATAATAATAATAATCTTATAGAATTTTAGTTGGAAGAGATCCCAAGGGCCATCCACTCCAACTCCCTTCTACCAGCCCAGGAGACACAATCAAAACCCTCCCAACAGATAGCCATGCAGCCTCTAATAATAATAATAATAATAATAATAATCTTATAGAATTTTAGTTGGAAGAGATCCCAAGGGCCATCCACTCCAACTCCCTTCTACCAAGTCAGAAAACCCTCCCGACAGATGGCCACCCAGCCTTGCCTTGGAGAAGGACGAGCCCCTCGGCTCCTCCAGCCACCAGCTCTTCCAGCATCACTCCCTCTGACGTCACTGTACGGATGCTAGAGCGTTCCACACGGCTTCCGGCGGAAGTTGTCTCCTGGGCGCAGCCATGATGGAGAGGGGGAAAGAGGTGCCTACCTCACTGCCGGATTAATCTCGGTTTTGTATCTCTCCAGGGAGAAAAGCGAAGAGCAGATACCCACGTTTTTATGGCAGGCTGGATTATGTTCTCCAAACAGAAAGGAGGAAACCATGAAAATGAACAAAATCTGGCTACCAGTATTAAAAAAAACTCTAAAATTAGAACAGCACAACAACAGAGAGGAAACAAACAAGGACATCTAATCACCTCTCAACAAAAGATTGCCCCAGGCACTGCCAGGCCATCAAATGCTAATCAAGGTGGTCAGATGAAACATTCACACCTAGCTCCAACAGACAAGAGTCCTTTGTCCCACCCTAGTCATTCCACAGATATATAAACCCGTTTTTCCTAGTTCCAACAGACCTCACTACCTCTGAGGATGCTTGCCATAGATGCAGGCGAAACGTCAGGAGAAAATGCCTCTAGAATATGGTCATATAACTCAGAAAAACCTACAACAACCCAGTGATTCCGGCCATGAAAGCCTTCGACAATACACTGTTGGAGTGTTGCAGTTCGTCACCTTGATTAGTATTAAATGGCCTTGCAACTTCAAAGCCTGGCTGCTCCCTGTCTAGGGGAATCCTTTGTTGGAAGGTGTTAGCTCACTCTGCATCACCCAAACATGAATCAAGGAACATGAAAGATACCTCGGACTAACTCACCCAGAGAAGTCAGCCATAGCAGAGCACCTGATGAACCAACCTGGACACAGCATATTATTTGAGAACACAGAAATGCTGGACCACTCTCACAACCACCATGTCAGACTACACAGAGAAGCCATTGAAATCCACAAGAAGCAGGTGGACAATTTCAACAGAAAGGAAGAGACCATGAAAATGAACAAAACCTGGCTACCAGTATTTTAAAACTACAAAATCAGGACCGTAAATACAGAGCAACACTCAGAAAACAGGGGAATTCCAGACAAAAATCAATCAGGGCCAGCCAACACCTCCCTACCAAGGATTCTCCCAGGAATGAAGCAGCCAGGATTTGAAGCTGCAAGGCCATTCAATGATTCCACAGCAAGCTGGCTTCAGGAAAGGGAAAAGCTGCACATCGCAAGTGCTGAACCTGACTCAGCACATAGAAGATGGCTTTGAAAGGCTGCAGATAACAGGAGCTGTCTTCATAGACCTGTCAGCGGCTTATGATACCGTAAACCACCGCCTCCTCCTGAGAAAAAATGTATAATATCACAAAGGACTACCATCTCACCCACCTCATAGGAAACCTGCTACAAAACAGGAGCTTCTTTGTTGAGTTCCAGGGACACAGAAGCAGATGGCGGAAACAGAAGAACGGCCTGCCTCAGGGGAGTGTGCTTGCTCCATACATGTTCAACATCTACACAAATGACCAGCCACTGCCAGAAGGGACAGAGAGCTTCACCTATGCTGATGATCGTGCCATCACCACTCAAGCAGGGAGCTTGGTTGAACAGAAGCTCTCCGAAGCTCTAGGTGCTCTTACTGCCTACTACAGGGAAAACCAGCTGATCCCTAACCCATCTAAAACACAGACATGTGCCTTTCATCTCAAGAACAGAGAAGCATCCCGAACTCTGAAGATCACCTGGGAAGGAATCCCACTGGAGCATTGCAGCACACCCAAATCCCTGGGAGTCACTCTGGACCATGCTCTTACCTACAAGAAGCACTGCCTGAACATCAAGCAAAAAGTGGGTGCCAGAAACAATATCATACGAAAGCTGACTGGCACAACCTGGGGATCACAACCAGACACAGTGAAGACATCTGCCCTTGCGCTATGCTACTCGGCTGCTGAGTATGCATGCCCAGTGTGGAACACATCTCACCACACTAAAACAGTGGATGTGGCTCTTAATGAGACATGCCGCATTATCATGGGGTGCCTGCGCCCTACACCACTGGAGAAATTACACTGCTTAGCCGGTATTGCACCACCTGACATCCGCCGGGAAGTAGCAGCCAATAGTGAAAGGACCAAGGCAGAGACATCTCCAGCTCATCCCCTGTTTGGGTATCAGCCAGCACGTCAACGACTTAAATCAAGAAATAGTTTTCTAAGATCTACAGAGACACTCGCTAGAACACCTCAGCAAGCGAGAGTCCAAAAGTGGCAAGCCCAAACCCAGAACCTCAATCAGTGGCTGATACCAAATGAGCTCCTGTTTGAGAAGCTCCACTGGCTGCCATTCATTTTCTGGTCCCAATTCAAGGTGCAGGTGCTTACCTACAAAGCCCTAAACGGTTTGGGACCTGCCTACCTGCGTGACCGCATCTCTGTGTATGAACCTACATAATCTCTTCGTTCATCTGGAGGGGCCCTGGTCACGATCCTACCTGCATCGCAAGCGCGATTGGTTGGGATGAGGGATAGGGCCTTCTCGGTGGTGACCCCTCAACTCGGGAACTCTCTCCCTAAAGACATCAGGCAGGCCCCGTCGCTAGCAATCTTTAGGAGGAGCTTGAAGACGTGGTTGTTCCCGTGTGCCTTTCCAGAATAAGGAAACTCCTAGCATTATGTCCCAACGCACTTTATCAGAGATCTAAAATATCTACATGCCCACCCCCTCCAAACACTCCACCTTGTCACGCCCACCACTTTTAACTTTATTTTTACATTTGGCCCTGCCAGTGTTTTTAATTGCGTCATTGTGTGTTGTTAATGTTATTGCTTTGTTTTTTGAGTTATTTTTTTTGTTGTTATTGTTTGACTATTGTATTTGGGCCTGGCCTCTTGTAAGCCGCATCGAGTCCTCCGGGAGATGGTAGTGGGGTACAAATAAAGGTTTATTATTATACTAGCAGTTCCCTGCCATGTGTTGCTGTGGCGCAGTCTGGTGATCTGGAAAATAAAGTACGGTAATGAGAAAGTGTTATTTTCTAATCTATGTAATCGTCATGGGGGTTCTGTGTGGGAAGTTTGCCCTTTTTTGTCGTTCGTGGGGTTCTGAATGCTCTTTGATTGTAGGTGAACAGTGAATATATGTAATTTTTCTATGCTTGTGTGTAAACAGTTTGTGGGATTCTTTGATTGTAGGTGAACCGTAAATCCTAGTAACTACAACTCCCAAATGCCAAGGTCTATTTTCCCCTAACTCTGTCTGTGTTTATATTTGGGCGTATTGAGTGCTTGTGCCAAGTTTGGTCCAGATCCATCATTGTTTGAGTCCACAGTGCTCTCTAGATAGGTGAACTACAACTCCCAAACTCAAGGTCAATGTCCACCAAACCCTTCAAGTATTTTGTGTTGGTCATGGGTGTTCTCTGTGCCAAGTTTGGTTCAATTCCATCGTTGGGGGAGTTCAGAATGCTCTTTGACTGTAGGTGAACTATAAATCCCAGCAATTACAACTTCCAAATGACGAAACCATAATTTTTTGAGTGATGGTCACTCCTTGTGTTGTGAGACGTTTTGTTGCCAAATTTGGTGTGATTTCGTTCATTGGTTCTTTTGTTCTTAAGGTACTCCTTACACACAGAGCATTTATATATGTATTTTGTTCATTCGTTCAGTCGTCTTCGACTCTTCGTGACCTCATGGACCAGCCCACACCAGAGCTCCCTGTCAGCCGTCACCACCCCCAGCTCCTTCAAGGTCAGTCCAGTCAAGGATGCCATCCATCCATCTTGCCCTTGGTCGGCCCCTCTTCCTTTCCCCAGCATAATTGTCTTCTCTAGGCTTTGCTGTCTCCTCATGATGTGGCATTCAAAGGACTTCCACTTTGTCTCTGGTCTCCTTCCCTCCAGTGAGCAGCCGGGCTTTCTTTCCTGGAGGATGGACTGGTTGGATCTTCTCTCAGTCCAAGGCACTCTCAGCACTTTCCTCCAACACCACAGCTCAAAAGCATCTCTCTTCCTTCGCTCAGCCTTCCCTCAGGTCCAGCTCTCACATCCGTAGGTGACTACAGGGAATACCATGGCTTTGACTAGGCAATGGATCTTGGTTGCCAATGTGATGTCTCTGCTCTTTACGATTTTATTGAGACTGGAGATTGCTCTCCTCCCAAGAAGGAAGCGTCTTCTGATTTCCTGGCCACAGTCTGCATCTGCAGTCATCTTTGCACCTAGAAACACAAAGTCTGTCACGGCCTCCACGTTTTCTCCCTCTATTTCCCAGTTGTCAATCATTCTTGTTGCCATAATCTTGGGGTTTTTTTGATGTTTAGCTGCAACCCGGCTTTTGCGCTTTCTTCTTTCACCTTGATTAGAAGGCTCCTCAGCTCCTCCTCGCTTTCGGCCATCAGAGTGGTGTCATCTGCATATCTGAGGTTGTTAATGTTTCTTCCAGCCATTTCCACCCCAGCTTTGCATTCATCCAGCCCCGCACATCCTCGCATGATGTGTTCTGCATACAAGTTGAATAGGTTGGGTGAGAGGAGACAACTCTGCCATACGCCTTTCCCAATCTTGAACCCGTCTCCTGTTCCGTGGTCAGTTCTGACTGTTGCTCCTTGGTCCTTGTACAGATTCCTCAGGAGAGAGGGAAGGGGGCTTGGGATGCCCATCCTACCAAGAACTTATATATGTATAGATTATAAGAACTTCTTGACTGTGAGAGCTGTTCAGTAGTGGAACTCTCTGCCCCGGAGTGTGGTGGAGGCTCCTTCTTTGGAAGCTTGTATTTATTTATGATTATTTATTTACTTCGCTTATATACCTAAACGGTTCCGGCCCAGTGTATCTATCCGAACGGATCTCCCTCTATGTCCCACCTCGGAACCTAAGATCCTCTGGGGAGGCCCTGCTCTCGACCCCGCCTCTATCACAAGTGAGATTGGTGGGGACGAGGAGCAGGGCCTTCTCGGTGGTGGCCCCCCGCCTGTGGAACTCACTCCCCGGGGAGATTAGATCGGCAATGTCCCTTCTTTCATTTAGGAAAAAGTTGAAAACCTGGATATGGGACCAGGCATTTGGACATTCTGGCAGCTAAAGAAAGACTTGATGACGAGCTGGAATTGGACAAGACGGAATGGATTTATGGAACTCCGAACGCTGAGCTCAGGATTAGCCTACTACTGTGTTTATGGTGTTACTGTGTATTGATGATTTAATTTTTAATTTGTAATTGCTTAATTGTTTTATATATGTATGTATATGTGACAAGGCATTGAATTGTGCCTTTCTCTGTAAGCCGCCCTGAGTCCCCCCTTGGGGGTGAGAAGGGCGGGGTAAAAGTGACAGAAATAAATAAATAAATAAATAAATAAATAAAAATACCGCAATTCTCAGCCTAATGGCGACTCATTGCGGTGTACAATATAGAAAAACAGGTGCAAAATACAACATAAAATAAAATAATCCACAGTACATCATTATCAAAACATCTCATCACAAACATCACAAACAGAGGCTGGATGGCCATCTGTCGGGGGTGATTTGAGTGGAATATTCCTGCTTCTTGGCCGAATGGGGTTGGACTGGATGATGGCCCATGAGGTCTCTTCCAACTCTTTGATTCTAGGATTCTAGGATTCCTGACTGTGATAGCTGTTCAGCAGTGGAACTCTCTGCCCTGGAGTTTGGTGGGGGCTCTTTCTTTGGAAGCTTTTAAACAGGGGCTGGGTGGCCATCTGTCAGGGGTGCTTTGAATGCAATATCCTTGCTTCTTGGCAGAATGGGGTTGGACTGGATGATGGCCCAGGAGGTCTCTTCCAACTCTTTGGAAACCATACCTGACTGTGAGAGCCGTTCAGCAGTGGAACGCTCTGCCCTGGAGTGTGGTGGAGGCTCCTTCTTTGGAAGCTTTTAAACAGAGGCTGGATGGCCATCTGTCAGGGGTGATTTGAATGCAATATTCCTGCTTCTTGGCTGAATGGGGCTGGACTGGATGGCCCATGAGGTCTCTTCCAACTCTTTGATTCTATGATTCTATGATTCATGACTGTGAAAGCTGTTCAGCAGTGGAACTCTCTGCCCCGGAGTGTGGTGGAGGCTCCTTCTTTGGAAGCTTTTAAACAGAGGCTTGGATGGCCATCTGTCAGGGGTGCTTTGAATGCAATATTCCTGCTTCTTGGCAGAATGGGGTTGAACTGGATGGCCCATGAGGTCTCTTCCAACTCTTTGATTCTATGATTCTTTGTCGTAACCGTAAAGCGCCCTCTGTCGTAAAGGCTTCTCCTGTCAAGCGTGTGTCTGTGTGCGTGTGCGCATGCGTGCTCCCTGGTGCCGCCAAGCAGGGTTGGCGCATGCCCCTGAGCCGCCGCTGCCGCCGTCAAGCGCGGCCGCCTGTCGCGCGCGGGAGTGCGGCGCCCGCCGTGAGGCCGGAGGAGGAGGAGGAGGGAGGGAGGGATGCTGGGCGGCGGCGGCGGTGGGGGTGCCGGGTCTCACCCCCCGCCCTCGGGCCCGCCTCCAGGCCCGTCGCCTCCGCCGCCTCCGCTGCCCGTGCCGCCGCCTTCTTCTTCGCCGGGCTCTCCGCCTTCTTCTCCCCGCTCTCCGTGCCGGGCTCTGCCGGGGCCGCTGCTGCACCCGCGGACGGGCCGCCTGGTCTCGGTGTCTCGGGGCGGGAGGACGGCCTCTCGCTCCCAGCCCGGCCAGGAGTTCAACCACGGCCTGGTCCTCAGCAGGGAGCCCCTCGCCCCCGGAGCCCTCTTCACCGTATGTGTTGCCGAAGGTTTGACAGGCCAAGCGGGGCAGAAGCGGGGTAAAGGGAGAGTGCAGACACGGGGGAGAATAGGGGCCCCATTGGGGGGGGAAACAAAGGAGTCATGTAATAATAAGTGGGGCACAAAGGGGTCAGAGAATAATAATAATAATAATAATAATAATTCTCTTGTTTATTATGGTTATTATTAAGGAAGGAAGGTAGAAGTAGGGCACAAAGGGGTCATATAATAATAATAATAATAATAATAATAATAATAATAATGTGTTGCCGAAGGTTTGACAGGCCAAGTGGGGCAGAAGCGGGGTAAAGAGAGAGTGCAGACGTGGGGGGAGAATAGAGGCCCCATCGGGGGAAAAACAAGAGAATTATTATTGTTGTTATTATTATTATTAAGGAAGGAAGGAAGGTAGAAGTAGGACACAAAGAGGTCATATAATAATAATAATAATAATAATAATAATAATAATAATAATGTGTTGACGAAGGCTTTCAGAGTTTGCTGAGAATGACTCCAGAGAATTATTATTATTAGTATTACTATTATTAAGGAAGGAAGATAGGAAGGAAGATAGAAGTAGGACACAAAGGGGTCACAGAATACTACTACTAATAATTCTCTTGTTTATTATGGTTATTATTAAGGAAGGAAGGTAGAAGTAGGGCACAAAGGGGTCATATAATAATAATAATAATAATAATAATAATAATAATAATGTGTTGCCGAAGGTTTGACAGGCCAAGTGGGGCAGAAGCGGGGTAAAGAGAGAGTGCAGACGTGGGGGGAGAATAGAGGCCCCATCGGGGGAAAAACAAGAGAATTATTATTGTTGTTATTATTATTATTAAGGAAGGAAGGTAGAAGTAGGACACAAAGAGGTCATATAATAATAATAATAATAATAATAATAATAATAATAATAATTCTCTTGTTTATTATTGTTATTATTAAGGAAGGAAGGTAGAAGTAGGGCACAAAGGGGTCATATAATAATAATAATAATAATTCTCTTGTTTATTATTGTTATTATTAAGGAAGGAAGGTAGAAGTAGGGCACAAAGAGGTCATATAATAATAATAATAATAATAATTCTCTTGTTTATTATTGTTATTATTAAGGAAGGAAGGTAGAAGTAGGGCACAAAGGGGTCATATAATAATAATAATAATAATTCTCTTGTTTATTATTGTTATTATTAAGGAAGGAAGGTAGAAGTAGGGCACAAAGGGGTCATATAATAATAATAATAATAATTCTCTTGTTTATTATGGTTATTATTAAGGAAGGAAGGTAGAAGTAGGGCACAAAGGGGTCATATAATAATAATAATAATAATTCTCTTGTTTATTATTGTTATTATTAAGGAAGGAAGGTAGAAGTAGGGCACAAAGAGGTCATATAATAATAATAATAATAATAATTCTCTTGTTTATTATTGTTATTATTAAGGAAGGAAGGTAGAAGTAGGGCACAAAGGGGTCATATAATAATAATAATAATAATTCTCTTGTTTATTATGGTTATTATTAAGGAAGGAAGGTAGAAGTAGGGCACAAAGGGGTCATATAATAATAATAATAATAATAATAATAATAATAATAATAATGTGTTGCCGAAGGTTTGACAGGCCAAGTGGGGCAGAAGCGGGGTAAAGAGAGAGTGCAGACGTGGGGGGAGAATAGAGGCCCCATCGGGGGAAAAACAAGAGAATTATTATTGTTGTTATTATTATTATTAAGGAAGGAAGGAAGGTAGAAGTAGGACACAAAGAGGTCATATAATAATAATAATAATAATAATAATAATAATAATAATAATGTGTTGACGAAGGCTTTCAGAGTTTGCTGAGAATGACTCCAGAGAATTATTATTATTAGTATTACTATTATTAAGGAAGGAAGATAGGAAGGAAGATAGAAGTAGGACACAAAGGGGTCACAGAATACTACTACTACTACTACTACTAATAATAATAATAATAATGTGTTTCCGAAGTCTTGACAGGCTAAGCGGGGCCGAAGTGGGGTAAAAGGAGAGTGCAGATGTGGGGGGAGAATAGAGGCCCCATTGGGGGGAAGAACAAGTGAAAGAAGGAAGGTAGAAGTGGGACACAAAGGGGTCATATAATAATAATAATAATAATAATAATAATAATAATAATAATAATGTGTTGCCGAAGGTTTGACAGGCCAAGCGGGGCAGAAGCGGGGTAAAGGGAGAGTGCAGATGCGGGGGGAGAATAGAAGCCCCATTGGGGGAAAAACAAGAGAATTATTATTGTTGTTATTATTAAAGAAGGAAGGTAGAAGTAGGACACAAAGGGGTCATATAATAATAATAATAATAATTCTCTTGTTTATTATTATTATTATTATTAAGGAAAGAAGGTAGAAGTAGGGCACAAAGGGGTCATAGAATAATAATAATAATAATAATAATAATAATAATAATAATAATAATGTGTTGTCGAAGGTTTGACAGGCCAATCGGGGCAGAAGCGGGGTAAAGGGAGAATGCAGATGCGGGGGGAGAATATAGGTCCCAATAACAAACAAGCGAAGGAAGGAAGGTAGAAATGGGGCACAAAGAGGTCATAATAATAATAATAATAATAATGTGTTGCCGAAGGTTTGACAGGCCAAGTGGGGCAGAAGCGGGGTAAAGAGAGAGTGCAGACGTGGGGGGAGAATAGAGGCCCCATCGGGGGAAAAACAAGAGAATTATTATTGTTATTATTATTATTAATGAAGGAAGGTAGAAGTAGGACACAAAGGGGTCATAGAATAATAATAATAATAATAATAATAATAATAATAATAATAATAATAATAATGTGTTGCCGAAGGTTTGACAAGCCAAGCGGGGCCGAAGTGGGGTAAAAGGAGAGTGCAGATGTGGGGGGAGAATAGAGGCCCCATTGGGGGGAAGAACAAGTGAAAGAAGGAAGGTAGAAGTGGGACACAAAGGGGTCATGTAATAATAGTAATAATTATAATAATAATAGTAATAATAATAATAATAATGTGTTGCTGAAGGTTTGACAGGCCAAGCGGGGTAAAGGGAGAGTGCAGACGCAGGGGGAGAATAGAGGCCCCATTGGGGGAAAAACAAGAGAATTATTATTGTTAAAATTAGAACAGCACAACAACAGAGAGGAAACAAACAAGGACATCTAATCACCTCTCAACAAAAGATTGCTCCAGGCACTGCCAGGCCATCAAATGATAATCAAGGTGGTCAGTTGAAACATTCACACCTAGCACCAACAGACAAGAGTCCTTTGTCCCACCCTGGTCATTCCACAGATATATAAACCCTTTTTTCCTAGTTCCAACAGATCTCACTACCTCTGAGGATGCTTGCCATAGATGCAGGTGAAACGTCAGGAGAGAATGCCACTAGAACATGGCCATATATTTTCCGAAAAAATCTACAACAACCCTTTATGATTGTTATTATTAAGGAAGGTGGAAGTAAGGCACAAAGGGGTAATAGAATAATAATAATAATAATAATAATAATAATAATAATAATAATAATAATAATAATGTGTTGCCGAAGGTTTGACAGACCAAGCGGGGCAGAAACGGGGTAAAGGGAGAATGAAGATGCAGGGGGAGAATAGAGGCCCCATTGGGGGAAAAACAAGAGAAGTATTATTGTTATTATTAAGGAAGGAAGGGAAAAGTAGGACACAAAGGGGTCAGAGAATAATAATAATAATAATAATAATAATAATAATATGTTGTCAAAGGCTTTGAGAGTTTGCTGAGGATGACTCCAGAGAATTATTATTATTATTATCATTACTATTATTAAGGAAGGAAGGTAGAAGTAGGGCACAAAGGGGTAATAGAATAATAATAATAATAATAATAATAATAATAATAATAATAATAATGTGTTGTCAAAGGTTTGACAGGCCAAGCGGGGCAGAAGCAGGGTAAAGGGAGAGTGCAGACACGGGGGGAGAATAGAGGCCCCATTGCGGGGAAAACAAGAGAATTACTATTGTTATTAWTAAGGAAGGAAGGTAGAAGTAGGACACAAAGGGGTCATAATAACAGTAATAATGTGTTGCCAAAGGTTTGACAGGCCAAGCGGGGCAGAAGCGGGGTAAAAGGAGAATGCAGACACAGGGGGAGAATAGAGGCCCCACTGGGGGAAAAACAAGACAATTATTATTGTTATTATTAAGGGAGGAAGGTAGAAGTAGGACACAAAGGGGTCATAATAATAATAATAATAATAATAATAATAATTCTCTTGTTTATTATTATTATTATTATTAAGGAAAGAAGGTAGAAGTAGGGCACAAAGGGGTCATAGAATAATAACAATAACAACAACAACACCAACAATAATAATAATAATGTGTTGTCGAAGGTTTGACAGGCCAAGCGGGGCAGAAGCGGGGTAAAGGGAGAGTGAAGATGCGGGGAGAGAATAGAGGCCCCATTGGGGGAAAAACAAGCAAAGGAAGGAAGGTAGAAATGGGGCACAAAGAGGTAATAATAATAATAATAATAATAATAATAATAAGGTGTTGCCGAAGGCTTTCAGAGTTTGCTGAGGATGACTCCAGAGAATTATTATTATTATTATTAAGGAAGGAAGGAAGGTAGAAGTAGGACACAAAGGGGTCATAGAATAATAATAATAATATTAATAATAATAATAATGTGTTGCCGAAGGCTTTCAGAGTTTGCTGAGGATGACTCCAGAGAATTATTATTATTATTATTATTATTAAGGAAGGAAGGTAGAAGTAGGACACAAAGGGGTAATAATAATAATAATAATAATAATAATAATAATAATAATAATAATAATAATGTGTTGCTGACAGCTTTCAGAGATTCCTGAGGATGTCTCCAGGTAACAACAGCCAGGCCACCTCCATGCAAAGGGCCTGGTTTAGGGGATGCTAGGAACTGTAGTCCAGAAGAGAGTGTGGATATGCTATTGTGTGTTTTGTTTACCGGGGGGGGGGGGTCATTTTTGCACTTGCTCTGTGGCATCTTTTTGCTTTTTTGACTTTTTAAGTCCCTTCCACTTTGGTTTTCAGTGTTTGTTTTGAGTGATGGTCTCTCGTTGGCCTGATAGGTGTGTTGTGTCCAAATTTGGTATCAATTTGTCCAGTGGTTTTTGAGTTCTGTTAATCCCACAAACAAACATTACATTTTTATTTACGGTATATAGATGCTAATAATATAATATATTGCATGCATGTGTATATCTTGTAAGCCACTCTGAGTCCCCTTCAGGGTGAGAAGGGTGGCATATAAATGCCATAAATAAATAAATAATAAAGAATGTGCCTGAAGAAGAGGCCCATGGGGAGGTGGGTAGGAGAGAGGGGAAAATGGAGGTTGTTTTGAAATGATGGAGGGCCAACTCAGATATCAATGGGATACAAAGAGAGGCAGATGTTGAGATATGCAGAGGACAAGTGGAGTAGTGGTCGGTGGTCTGTTTTAATCTATATAAACAAAATGAAATGTTTGTGAGATTAACATAACTCAAAAACCACTGGACAAATTGACACCAAATTTGAACATAATACACCTATCAGGCCAACAAATGACCATCACTCATAAAAACACTGAAAAACACAGCAGAAGGAACTTTAAAAGCAAAAAAACCCAAATCAACATTACAACACATGTGCATAAACACAGAAATACACATATACACATATATACATATACAAAACAAATATACACAGACTGGGCCACAGCAACGCATGGCAGGGGACGGCTAGTGTTTGTATAATTATAGATTACAAATTGTACGAAAAGGCTTTTAATGTCTCCTTGTTGGAGAGAAAAGTGGGGTATAAATAACAATAACAACATAAGGAAGAACTGTTCAGCAGTGGAACTCTCTGCCCTGGAGTGTGGTAGAGGTTCCTTCTTCGGAGGCTTTTAAGCAGAGGCTGGGTGGCCATCTGTCAGGTGTGCTTTGAATGTGATTTTCCTGAATCTTGGCAGAGTGGGGTTGAACTGGCCTTCCAGGTCTCTTCCAACTAATTGATTCTATGAGGGTTGAATGAAAAGTAATGCCTCCACCTTCGTAACTCCTCAACAGATAGCAGTACTGATATGCGGCAGGTACTGGCTTGTTCAGTAGACTCTCCTCTACAGTTCCATTTTGGTGGGAAACCTTAGCATTGAACTGTTGTGTTGTTAAAGTGCAAAGTATGGAACCCTGCGCAGACGGTCGTTCAATGCGACTTAAGCAACGTGTAGTCATTGAATTCTTGACAGCAGAAGGTGTCACCCCAAAGGAGATTCATCAGAGAATGCAAGCTGTTTATGTGTTGTGTTGATGTGAGTCCTGTGCGTCGTTAGGCGAGTAAGTTTAAAGATGTTGAGCTGGGAACATCTGAATTGCATGACAAACAAAGTATTGGACGTCCTGTGACAGTAACCACTGAGTTTCACAAGCAAAAGGTTGACAGATTGATTCAGGACGATCGTCGTATCACACAGAGAGAAATTTCAAGCATAATCAGCATTTCACAAGAACGTGTGGGTCACATTATTGCTTTGCTTGGCTATCGGAAGATCTGTGCACGATGGTTACCCAGGATGAGAGAACTGTGAGACGCTGGTTGCGGAAACAGAGTGTCGACTTCTTCCATGACAGCTTCAGAAAACTTGTTCATTGTTGGCAGAAATGTATCCAAAAGTGAATAGTGGTAGTTAAAGAGCACATTCTAAGGAATATTTTTGCGTTTGATTCATTAAAATATTCCCATCCAAACCCAAGTAACGAAGGTGGAGGCATTACTTTTCATTCAACCCTCATATATAACAACATTTGAAAAATGTTCTGTTCCTGGTTTGAAAGCTTTATTTCCTGTTTAATTGTGCGGTACTTGGTTTGAAAGTAGTTGTCCTGCTCCAGAGACTTCATTTCTGTGGCTGCTGTTAGGAATTGTGGGAGTTGAAGTCCAAAACACCTGGGGGGCCAAAGTTTGCCCATGCCTGTAATAGATGGTTCAGAGTCCAGCCAGTAACACCTAATAGGCTGTGAAACTAATAACAAGAACTCATCTCAGATTCTTTATCCCAATTGGGCATCTTCCTTCCACTCCTCTCTTTCATAG